TGTAAAATTATTATAACTTATATTTCTATTGTTTTATTTTAGTTTTCACTAATTAATAACGAAAATATACGTAGTATAGTCAAGCTTTAGTAAAATTAATATCTGAGTAAATACGTGAATTCTTAATGATTTAGTATTGCTTAACTAATAGCTATTAACTGTACAAACGTCAGAATGCGTAGTTTATGATTCTACGTAAATGTAACTAATGTACAAATGTATTTTCGTTCGAAATAAATATTTATAATTATTTATTAACTGAGTCGTCAATCCCTTATACCCTCCGAAAGTTCATCATAGTTGGCTATGAGCTTCATTATCAACAACAAAACATCATGACAGTCATGGTCGTTTGTTTGAGCGTATGACATGCTCTCATCATAGCAACGTTCGCCGATACTTTTCATATCTAAATTCCTACGAAGATCAAGCCTCATCGTCTTCATGATCAAATTCACTAGTTCCGTCGATTCATGTCCAATGAGATGCTTCTTACGAAGACCAGAATATCACTCCGGAGAGTTCAAACAGTTATAATAAGGTAGATCGAGCCGATCGTGCACGATTCGTGATACTTAAACGTGAAACTCACGTCTCGCGTTCTCCATTATTATTTTATATAATTTTCTAACAGAAATTATGATTCGAGTAACACGCGTTTCATTTTATTTACGAAACGTTTTATCTGTTGGACTTTGAGCGAAAGTTTCTGCGAGGTTGGAATTTATGTCTGATTACTCTATCTACTGTCTATGTCAGATGAAGAAGGGAACTTGAAATATTTGTTGATGTGTTACTCAGTTCCCTTGGAATTTTATAGTTTTTTAAGATGATGGATAATGTTTAATTAAATGAAATTGAAATTGTCAACTGAAACGAAACATTGACGAGAGATTTATTTTTAGATACTTCCTGTTGAATTGATTGTAGATAATTATCTACGAATGATTGATTTATGTAATTTGTAAATGCAGAAAATTTGCATCGTGTAAAGGAGGGGGAGAGAAGGACATACCACCATGTGCAAAAATAGCAAGATTCGAGTCATGTCAGCTGGATCCATGCATGCTGGATCCATGCAAACCGGAACCGACGGTGGTCATCATTGGGGCAGGAATGGCAGGATTATCAGCAGCTCACCGATTGGCACAATGCGGCCTCCAAAATTTCACGATATTGGAGGCAACGGATAGGTTCGTTCACATGCATAGTAGAATTTAATAATTTTTCCAGTATTACAAAAACACACAATTCCTAAATACTGTTAGCTTTTTATGTATTAACGGTTTTGTTGTGTTGTTTAAAATCCTTAATTTCGTAGACACGCATTCCTAATGCATAGCCAGAAATTGGGACATTTTCATTACTATTGTACTTGATTACATTATATGACTATGAATAACTGATTCGATTCGCAGGCCAGGAGGTCGGATTCACTCGTGTTGGCTGGGAGATGTCGTGGCCGAGATGGGTGCCACCTGGATCGAAGGGGGATGCGTCGCGAATCCCGTGTTCACTCTGGCCGCCCAAGAGGGTCTTCTGAAGCCACCCCTTTTCAGGCCTGATCCAAGCCGCGGACTTTTCTGCACGAGCGACGGCCGGGCTATCGATCTTCCAGTTAGCATCACCGCGTATCACACGTTCCGACAGATCGAACAACAGGCGGCAACCCTTTTCTCCCTTGGTTGCGGCCGCACCCACGGTACGTTGCTGAATTTCATGGGAGTCCGAATTCAGCAGGAGCTCCACAATTTCCCGGAGGAGCAACGGTACAGTTGCCCAGGTCAACTGACAACTTTATCGGCAGTGATGTAAAAGTAGTCGTGGTTTTACTAATTACACCGTACAACACAACAGTTTTTTTTTACAATATCCACATTTATCAATTAACGTCCGCTGCTCATAAAAGACAGGAAAATAGAAATATTGATAAGACTGTATAGTAAATGTCCCAATTTCTGTTTATGTTACAATCACTACTCACTCACTTAAGTTGCATGTGAAATTATAGAAAGAAGGCAGTGACTAGCAATTGAGATGTGAATCCGAATTGAAACATTTACTTATCTTAATTTTCTGGATTTGCTTTTGGCATGAGAAACTCTATAAAGAGAAACTTTATAAGAATCACGTGGTGAATACCGTAAAAAATGAAAAAAAGTTGTTCTTTGTTGGACTGTGTTATTATTCAAAATGAACATAATCTCTTGTTAATTAATTAATATTATTTCTTAATCGGAACGGAGAATTTAATTACGAAACTATTAGATTTTTCCGATTAATCAACGTTACGTTACATCACTGCGTTTTTAACGACACAGTACCACGGTTCGTTCTCTTTCGATACCGTTGGCCATTTCGCGTTTCCAGATATGATGCAGCCAGGGTGATGTACGGAATGACTAACTGCGTGAGGTGCCGATGCGGCGATGATTTGTCGTTGGTTTCTGCTGATCAATTCGGCAGTTACATCGAGATACCCGGTGGCAACGTAAGGGTACCCCTTGGATACGTCGGAGTGCTCGCCCCCCTTTTGAGAGATCTTCCCAGTTGTTCCCTCAAGTTGGTCAAATGTTTTTTGTACTTTTACAATAAAATTACAATTGTTTATTATTTTAGAAAACATTACCTCTCTATAAAAT